CCTACTTATAATTAAACACAGGCATACCAGAAAGTAAACTACCTATCCTAACTAATAGACCTATATTTAAAAAATGGCAAAACAGGCACACCAACACATTTACTCTACGGTTCTCATACATACCACTCGGGCGCAGACCTAAACTAGAGAGGACGTCCCGAGACGCCTCCGACACCCCGAGCTTACACACAACTTTCACACTCTGATTTACGTACCATTTTCCTGAAATCGACTGACAATGGCTAGCGATCATTGCGTAAAACGTGATTGAAACATATTTATATTTACTGCTAATATTAATAACTGAGAAAAAATACGTATAACTTCTATAGAAATTATATGTGCAAGTTGACTTGGAATCACTATTATAACTGACACTAGTATAATTGTAATTATAATAACACATTCTATAAATTAGTGCATAAATATTTTAAATATTACAACTTATAATGAATGAGACAATAAAACCGACGCAATTCCACATCCTAATCACACACACTCATGCGGAAAATACGTCGTGCACGATACGCTAACACATTGTCAGTCGCTGAGAAATTATTTACAAAATTACAAACTATGGTCATCGTGCCCAATGTCTTTCACCCACCCAAGTGACACCTGAGCACCTGAGTGAGATCCTGACAATGAACACGGAAGGGATTAAACCTGAAAATCCTAAACTGAAAAAATGATTAGTTTATATAATTCGTATCTAACGGACTATTGTATTATATTACTTTAAACTGTAGTGATTCTACTCTTTCAGAAATTATTCAAATTGCAAGAGAATAAAATAACCTCAGGCGACTTCTTCATCAAAGCACGTTTTCGAAAATGCAAAAACAATGTTCAAGCTTGTTGCTTTGATTCAAAAATCTACCTATCGCGAAGTATTATATCTTCTTGCACATAAGATCTCATACATTTTCCTACGGAAAGGATTCTAATCTATTATAGTTCAAATTGTACTGAAGTTCATAATTATAAAACAATTAATTAAATCATTTAATACTATTACAAAAGGGAAAG